TCCAGTTTCCTCTGTATGTGTTGTGGGTTGGTGTTTGGTTTTCTTAAAGGAGATATGAAGTACCTCTTCGCCAAAGCATGTCTCAATATTCGTCTGCTTGCAGCACTTTTCTACCATGGCAGTGAAACCGTCGGCAATTGTCTTGATTTGTTCTTCTGTCATCTGGGGCTTGCGTTTAATGAGGTTGACAAGCAATCTGAAAACAAAGCCACAATGCATAGTTAAAGCTACCTGTCGTAGTTTGATTTCCCAATTTAAAATAAGCCATTCTATGCAAGCACAGCTTATTTATGAGTTGCATTTGTCATGCCTAGAGGAGCCTGCGCCTATTTGTGATTCTAAACTCCCAGTCTACCACAACCGCTTGCTCGCTCTTTTGTCATCCTGGTTCCAGGTGGGGAAAAGCTTACAAAAATGGTCTGTATATTAAGACTTGCACTGGCAGCGGACCTATGTGAAACCGGTCAGCTAAGACACTGATTTTATTTGAGGAAAATAGCCTATTTTGCCTGTTCCAAACTACACGATGTTATGCACTGACAAGCTCAGAACTAACACCTAGTTCCATCTGGTTTTCTCTCTGCCTCTAGTGAAGTCCCAATCAGAAAACAAAACCAGGGGGTTTGTAGCTTCCTTTTGCCCTCCCGAAAAGTGTTATGCTTCAGAATTTTCTCTGCGTGGTATTTCTTTTTGCTTACTTCATCTGCCCTATTTCCTGTTCGGCAGGAGCAGCAGTGCACAGTTTTTCGTCAAAGTTGAACATCTCGGGGTCAAATGGCGGAGGCACGTATTTGGTGTCTACTCCCATGGCAGTGAAACACGGTCTCCTGTATGCGTAGGAGTCGCTGCAGCAGTGTGAAACGTTGTCGTTGATAGGTGTGGTCTCCTGTCTCCTGCACATATCCTGAATCACGATGCTCAGCTGGAAAGGGGAGGCAAGCAGGACAAACATGAGTTGCCCCTTTTACAGGAACAGGAGAAATATGTGAGGTTTGGGTCACAGTACAACAGCTGGAGGGAAAGCTGATCGATCTAAATACTTGCTCTGAAATGGCACTGTCTTAAAATTTAAAATAAATACTTGTTCCTGGAGTTGGGCATTTCTTAATCTGCAAACAGTCTGCCCATTGGGCTACAATCAGTAAGTACGTTTGTTGCTGGTTGTTTGGTGGTTAAGAGACTCTTCAGCTTTTCCACATGCAAGCTGCGCAGACCCAATGGAATTACTTTTGCTTTCTGAGGGAGAGCAAAGTTTAGCAAAAATTTTCACTGGCTACCATCAGGGAACTATTTAGGTTCTCACGTCCATTAAAAATGAACAGAGTTCGAATTCTGTTAGGCAGATGCTTAGCTCGGGGTTTATGAAAACTTCAGTGTGAGTTTACTGTCTCACCAGAATTCAAACATTTTTGAGAAGAGAAGAAATAAGAGAATAAACAAATGGACTCACGTATCCCTCAGAACAAGGCAGGCGTTTGTCTTCGGGAAGCTGGCAGCACTTGGTACCGACGGCTGTCATTTTCTTTCCGATTTCAAGCAAGGTCTCAGTTGACACCTGGGGCATTTTCTTAGTGTAGCGGATCAGAAGTCTGAAAAAGTCATATGGAAATGACTGTTTGCTCACCTGGGAAGAATGCCCTACTGAGCTGCACCGCTGAAGTGGAAATAGAAGCGAAGACCAAACAAACTCGCCCAAAGCAGCCAGCGTCTTTGTTTATCCTCGGGAATATTTATCAGAAAGTACTTACGCTTTAAGGAAGTCTTGCTCGCCATGGGTATTGAGAAGATCGCAGTTTGTCTTTACAACATCCTGGGTTTCTTTGATGTGATTGTTCAATTCCTCTTGCTGCAAACAAGTATAAATTTATTAGTAACGTTAGAGCAGGACATCCTGGTAACAATTGTACGAATATACCTTTTGACCTCCTCTAAATCTTATTAGCTGAAAGACACCCATTTTGCAAGGCCGATCACTTCCGCGTAGCCTGGCTGGTGTAGGGAGGACTTGGTTCTCATGCGAGTCTTAAGTTCTAATAGAAACTTCATTAAAAAGGCTGCAAGATTTTCCAAAATCTTATTTAAATTGATTACCTATTGGACTTAGTTTCTAGACAATGGGAGGCTTTTGCTTGTTTGTTTAAATCGGGTGGGTATTTTTCCAGCCTAGGATTATCAGCCGTGAGGGGAACATTCTCTTTCTATCCCTTGGCCAAAGGTGTCGGTGACTCAACTGGTGCTGTGAGCTGTGTGCGACTGAGCTGGGGATTAGGAGACCTCAGCTGAGGTGTCTCTGAGCTGGCTGTCCAGGTTCCCATTGTAATGCATGAGCAGCCATAGTCGGTGGAGCCCATAGAGTAGTTCTGCTAACCAGCTATTAGTCATCTTCAGGAGAAGCAGAATCGTCTCTGAGGCATCAGGCAGTTGTGAGACTAGTCTGAGGTTTCGTAGGTGACCGCTGAAGTTGGTCTGTGACCTGAGAAAACGGTATCCTTGTCGTGGGCCCTGGACTGCTTCATCTCCCATCAGAACACTAACTTCCCCTGGGGTTAGTCTCTCAAAATGCTTTCTGTCTGCTCTTCGTAGGAGCTTCTCAACCCAACTGTTTCACGATGTTCTAGCTATCTGCAAGCAAAGCTTTGCACCTACAGCGTTTCCGTAGCAGTCGGCAGGGTTGTCTGTTTTGCAGCACTTTTCCAGGAGTGTTTCGTATCCCTTGGTAATTCTCAGAATCAGCTGTGTGGAGAACTCAGGGTGTCTTCGTGAGTACTCGTAAACAAACCTGAAAGACACACAAGCTGACAGAATTAGAGCTCCCAAATAACAGGCTGTTTTCTTCACGCACAACATGGTAACTGACAATGACAGTTCCTCGGATGAGTTCAAGTAAGGTGGACGATTAGCTTGGAATGCTGTTGGCTTGTTTTGGTAGAATTTTTTGTGGTTCTGTTGCCAGCAGGTAACAAAATAGTTCCCCAGGACAGAGCACTTGTTGAGCAGATGATGTACGTGGGCACCACGAAGCCCTCGAATGAAAGTAAGGCACAGATAAATTCAGCTTTGAGCAGGACAGGGCTGAACAGAAACAGTCACAAAGCACGAATGGGAAGCTAGGGGTTCAGCGAGGGCTGAAGCTACGTCGGTTACGCTGGACTTCCCTGCGGCCATCTCTCTTCTCCACGTGCACCGGAAACGCCCGAGAGGACGGGGTTTTTTCAGCGGTGCAGAAGGCCGTAGGCCCGGAAAAACAGAGGATCGTTTGCAGGAGCATTTGAACGCAAACACGCGTGCTGTTGGTGCTACTTACTCTGACAAGAAGGCGTCGTGGCCTGCCTCAAAGCTTTTGCACACTTCCTTATCGTTTATGTATTTTTCAACGAGCGAAGGGAGATCTTCAGGTTTGTCATCAAAATCTGCTTCGATGATGCACTGGCTTCGTTCCACAACTGGCTTTTCGCAGCAGTGTTTGATTTTACTTGAGAAAACATCTTGTTTAGAGCACATATAGGCCATAAGCTCTGCCTGTAAAATTAAAACGTATTATCAGACAAGCTGTGAAATAATAATTTAAAGCTGGATTAATTAATCTCCTCTCTTTTTCATGCTCTTCCCTTTCCAGTCAGGTCACCTACTTAGCACTTTCCTAAAGAAATGCTGTCTCCATACAAAAAGAATAATCAGAGGGACGGGCACGTCCTGTGCCTGTTGAGCACGACGTTCACAGGCCGGGGGCGGGGATGAGGTTACCCTCCGATCTTAGAAACTTCCAGAAGGCTAACCCTGGGAAGCCGAGGAGAGTCACTGAGTGCCCGTCACAAGGATGCCTGATCCATCGTGTCGGTCCTGTGGGATGCCCAGCTCTGGCAGAGGACAAAGCCTGAGAAACCCCAGTGTTTCCTAAAGCTGGCACTCGGCACCAGCTGGTGGAAGAACAGTCTCTGAGCTCCAGCCCGGCAATACCGAAATTCTGCCACTGTTGCGCAGCTTTGCTAGCCCTCCCCTGCAAGCTGTCCCGTAGGGTTGGCGGGCGCTCCGGGGAAGCTGGATCGATGGCAGTACGCGCAACAGGACGGCACAAGAAATGTGGCCTTCTTGCCTTGGTCGTGATTGATTTGAAGCGAGTAACCGCCATTGAGCGATCTCCCTGCTAAATGTTTTGATTGCAACCGGACACGTGCGCTATGCTGTAAGTAACAGCTCCCCGCTGTCACGATCATCAAGGGCTGGATCCGGAACTGGTCCAAAACCTGGTTCCAGTAATAGCCAGCTGAGCTGGCCAGGAGCTTTTCAGGGGCTGAGGAACCTTCCAGCAGTGTTGAGTTACAAGTTCCCTGGACTGTGGGTGGATAGCTGTACAAATTACTGTCTTCCTAGACATTTTTCAGGTATGTAAAAATTTTTGAAAAATCCTTAGCTTACCCTGTCATCCATGCACTCCACCATGTCCCCTTCACAGCACTCCTTGTAGGTACCCTTAATGTCTTGCAGAATTTTAGTAATTTCTGAGAATGGAGCCTTGGGATATTTCTGGCTCAGGAGAGCAAGTTTTCTAGGTGGAAAAGAAGAAAAAGACACTTGTTTTAAAGCTCCGTATTGAACAGAAAGCTTGCGAGTCACTAACACTTATGATACTGTAGATCAGCGTTGTTTCAAGTAAACATTCATTCCTTCTCCTCATCTAATTTCTAGTGGCTTGAAAAAAAGGACATGGACACCTGCACCAGTAACCCAGTGCTCCTTTAAAACAGACAGAGAGAAACAAGTTTGTGGCTGTTCTGTTCTGAGCTGTCTATGTAAGAATCGCATCCTAGAATTCCCCATCGCGCTTGAGTGACTGTAAAACTGCAAAGCATCTCTAGATTACTTAGCACAGATGTATACGGTCCTAATCAAAGCTGCTGACCCGCGGTAAGGTAATCCTAGTGCATGTTGGCGTGTTAGGCTAGCCACAGACTGAAGGCAGGGCTCTGTGCTAGGCAGGTGATCCGCATCTTAACAGCATAAGTCTTTCCTAACCTTAAAAATGCACCTTTGGCAACAACTGGGATTCTGCCAAATTGGACACTTTGATTGCTCTAAGGTTCAGACTGACAATTTGCTTTGATTACTGACGTGCCTATCGCTAAAAGCTGGAACCGGCACAGCTTTGGCAAAAACGTGGGTTGAACACACTGTTAACTCGGCATCTCCTGGACTGGTTCTAGAGGCGGTTTCAGTTCTCTGTACAGCTGATCTTTTTCCTAGTGCTTGCTATCAGCCTGGAATAGGCAGGTTCCCCTCCGCATCCTGTCTTTAGGGAGAAACCTGATCAGGATTAAATTCTGCGTTTAAATAAACAGGTAAAGAAATTTCCATCGGCGTAGTGTTGAAAGACTGACCCGCTGATCTCTATTCTGTTGGACAATGGTCCTCAGCCAAAAGGATGCTAGGAAGTACTACGAGCGCGGTTTTCAAACTCAGCATATACAAGTGAATTATATATGCTGATGTTTTCCTCTTGAGTAGTTTCAGGTTTAGGTTAACAAGTCTACTTGTTATAAAAAAACTGCTTGGAACTTACTTTGCTTTGAAAGTTCTCTCACCAAACTTGTTGAGGATTCCACAGGAGTACTGCTGCTGCAAGCTAATTTTCTTGGCTCTTTCTTTTATGACAGCTGCCTATAGTAACAGGATGCACATAGTCTTGTTAAACTGATTACGTGTAATGGATGGAGAGAAAAGCAAACCTGAAAATCCCACTTGAGAAACACTGTGGAGTCTGGTCCTGTTAGCTCTGATGAAAAGCCAAGCGAGCGGAGAATTACTTAGGCGGTCCTGACCAGTTCACAATCAGCATTTAACTTCTAGCCTATACGCTATACCTTACGGCACGGTGCAGTCCTCCTACGGGCATGCTGCTGTTCACCAAATACTTCAATGTCATTGAAACCCTGTGACTTGAGGGTAAGTTGTCTTTCAGCGCTCTGCAGCGAGCACACAGAAGTTACTGGGACTGAGGTTGAGTTAAAGGGAAAGTTTGGCTACACGAAATCTTGGCTACAGTTCCCAAGAGCAAAGGTACGAGGAATTCATCTGCTATTGATTCATGGGGCTGACACAGGATTCATCCTGACGCCTCTCTACAAGTTCTTCCTGCAAAGATTTGCGTCAACAGGAAGATTCTACCCGTTTCTCACTCTGTCCTGTGTTTTTGGGCAATGAATACGGGAAGAATGGGAGAGAGATCTCGTACGCCTATGTGTCGGATGTGGCGATGGCGCGTTAGGCTGCCGAGGGAGATACGTCTTTGCCTAGTGCCTCTGGGGTAGCGTGCCTTCTCGCTATGGCTCACCACGGATGGAAACGCCCGAGCGTTATTTGGATTTGGCGCATCTGCGCGATGCTCGTGGCTGCCTTGATCATGTATTAGCAAAGGGACAAAAAGACAAGCGTAATTATCTATGGTTTGATTCTTTTGGTTTTTTCACTGAAATCCAAGTATGAATATTTTGACCATCTTAGTTTCTATGAAGCCATTTACAAATATTTACTGAAAACCACTGTGGGAAAGCACAATTTTGGAATGATAAACTGTAGCTTAGCATTAGCCTTTTAAAGTCCCTTCTCACTTTGAAGAGAATTGCTGGTGAGATCAGAAGACCTTTACGTAGCAGATCAGTTGCTTAGTTTTCATACACAGTGAAAAATTCGATTTACCTTTTCGTCCAAGCAAGTACCGATATCGCTCTCTTTGCAACAGCTTTGCAGCGCGTGTTCGTAATCAGCAGCCAGACTGAGGATTGTTGGGGCGTACAAGAAGGGGTTTCTTCTTGCAACAGTGTAGATGAAACTATATGGGAAATGAAAACCTACGTTACATATTCCAATGACAACAGCAAATGGCCTTAAATGTCTTAGAGCTTCTCTAACTTTTGTGTCTAGTTTAGAAATGTCAGTCACTTTGCTAACATAACGGCTGCTAGTGGCAAATGCTGCACTAAATCTGTTTGCAAAGCAGGACTCGCAAGAGTGATGGAAGGATGAACTCCTTATCTCATCAGCCACTTAGTTTGATGTACACGTGCTTTTTCAAAATCCTTTGTCAAACACTTGAAAATTCTGATTTTGAGTGTTAAAAATTAATCTATGGCCATTTTGCCAAGATTTCATTGCCAATTGTTATTAGTTTTATTTTTATCTTTCTTCATCCTTTCCAGTTACAGTGGGGGTACTGGGAAGCTGGAGCAGGTAAATTCTTAAACCAGAATTGGAAACATTGTGATTTTTCAGGAGGTTTGGGGGGGGAAAAAAAAAAGTCCCCCGAGATTTATAAATGGGATGCCTGAAAGCCCATTTTTGAAGGGGAAAAAACCTGCTCTAGCATGGAAAGCAAAAATGTGCTCAGAGCTTTGGATATTTAATGATTGAGTATGGTTTATACGTGCAGGCACGAGGCTGAATACTTGCAGCTTGTTCATCTCCTTGCCTGCACGTTCCCTATAGACCAGGGATCCATCCTCTGCCTGGCTAAATACTTAAAGAGCACGAAACGGCCATCTTACTGTCCCAGGAGTGCCACCCGGTCGTCACTGTACTGCTGGCATATCACATCGCTAGCCGGTCTCTGGTAGGGCTGCACGAAGTCTGGTTGGGGAACTTTAAACGACAGGAAGCACTCATTTCTGTCGGGATCCGTTTTACTACAGCAGTCAGCCATTGCACCGTATGAGTCGCGGAGCTTTTCCACTTGGCAGATTTCATCCAGGAAAATGGTGGGCTGTGAGGGAGATGCTGGGTGTCAGAATTATTGTTTATAGACGGTGTAATGTACGTTCTACTGCATCAGATTTAGGCCGTAAATCAGAAATCCATTGTTTGAAACACTATTCGATACATTTTTATGTGGTCCAATATCAAATCTGTTGCAATGCCTAACTGAAAAAAATTAATTGTAATTATAATTTAAAATACTCTGTGCAAGGCGATGATCTCCTTATACTTATAATCTGACTAAACTGAATTTTCAGATGAATTGAAGCAGGATTTGATATTCTACTTGACGCTCAGCTCAGAATGCCTTTTTGGGAGATGTAACGTAGCGGTGCCCTCGGGACTGAACGTTAGAGCTCGCAGGAGCACAAGCACCTTTCCAAAGGGCCGGGTGGCACCTGCTACGCATCCAGGGATCTTAGAGACCCGCACGCTTCTTGGGTTGCCTGATCTTAGAGGAGTTTTTTAGAACTTCTTAAATTAAGTGCCTTCAGTTAGCACACAAACTTCTTAAAGTCAGCCCAGTATCAAAACCCACACGCTCTGGTCACTTGAATACCTGGAATTAGACCTGTATTTCACAACTACGCGCTCAGGTCTACTCCCAGGCAGTGCTAAGCCGAAGGTGCCTGCGCGTGGTGTTTGGGCCCCGACATGTGGCTCCGCAGAGCATTTGGGCACTGCTGAAAGGCAGAGTTGCAGAACCTGACCGAAACAGGTTCTTGGTTTCAGCGCTAAAATCTGAGCGTTGGCCGACAACAAGGGCAACACTTGAAAGGGTCGGGTATAGGTCCTGAGTGAGGAGTTGTCTGGCGGCTGAATGGACCGAGGAGAAACACAAGAGCGAAGGATTCGCTGCCTACCAGTGATTTCGTGCACTCGGGAGCATCCTCGTTGGCCACGCACTTCTGCGCCAGATCTACGACATCCTTCACCAGCTTAGACAGTCCGTCGTAAGAACATCTCTGGAGATACTGGGCAAATGTGATCATGGTACTGAAACACAAAGCACGTTTTGGAATATGGAGACAGGAAACATAACGGTCAATGTTTTCAAAGGTTCTTCGGGATTCAGAATGGTTTGTTCAAATGACACGTGCAAATGCTCAGGCAGGGCAGCGTGAAGAGGACGATACCGGGTCATGTACCCTTCCTCTTCTCCCCTCCTTTCGGAAAAATGTTTTTAACCTTACTTCTCAGGAACAAAAGTCTTGAATAATAGATTGGAAACAAAACAGAAAAGACTGTGATTCGAGCTTTCTGCCACTTGTACCAGCATATTTGTAAACACCATAAACTCAGCTGTGTTTTGCCATTGTTAGAAGTGATTTCAAGCTGCCTTCTTTCAGAAGCGGTTATCTTCCTGTCAGGGCCCTCTGCCATTCCCAAAACCCGTTTCAAAAGGAAAAAATTGAATTGCCTCAGAAAAAAAAAAACCCTGTTGCAGGGTTGTTTTTTTGAGGTTGGTGGTTTGTTTTTCAGTTGTGTGGTTTGTTGGGTTTTTTGGTTTTGTTTTTTTTTTTGTAATGCCTGTATGCAGCGTAACTCCTCTCCATCCTAAGGTTATCAAAACTGTATTCCTCAGGCCAATTTTCTTTTCATGTAAGGAATACAGTTTTCCTGACAAGGTTTGCAGGGAGTTCTTTTCCAACACAGCAAGGAAGTCATAGTAATATTCGTAGGCTTTGTATACTAATGGCAAGGATGCTAACTCAGTGCCGTGCTTCGGTGAGACACGTACAGTGTGGTTTTAGTTTCCCTTTTTTGTCCACTATCAACACAGATGGAAAACAATCAGAAAATGTAAACTGAACATTCACTCACACTGCCTTAAATGTCTCTTCCTTCAAGTCATTGTACCGATGGGCGATTTCACTCTTGTGGTCTAGGAAGAAAGAGAAAGAGAACAGTGATGCTCACCGTCACGTTGGCTGTGCTAGACCCCTTGCGGAATAGGTTCTGGGCACCTTGTGCCGGACGTGGGGAAGCATTCGGCGCTCGCCCAGCTCTGATGCTGAGGGCAGTAATAGCTAATGCTGGGTCCTGGTAAAATCACACCTTTGGGCGGGTAATCTGGGTAATCCGTGCTGCTTTTCCGGGAGCTTCAGTCTAAGGCTTTCTTCAGGCTGCCCTGTGCTCTCTGTTGTCTCAGATGACCCTTCTGGTCCCTTTCTGTGGAGATACCTAGCTCTTACCCGTGCTCATCTTTCTGAAGGAACCCGAGCATGTGATTTTTAGGATTCTAATACAGTATTTACCTCTGTAAGCACATACTTAATTCAAATATTCGTAACGACTGCTGTAGGTTATTATTAAGGATCGGCCAACGTGTCCTTGCCGTAACCAACATATCATGTCTATGCTATAATTAAAGGAATGCAACTGCAGTTCAATTAGAGCAAGCGTTAGCAGAATTTTCTCTTTTTGAACACAAAATTATTAACTTGGCAGATTCCTATTCTTTTTCCACCCGGTGGATATCACCTGTGCCCTTCGTGAGAGGGAAGGCAGATAAATCCCTTCCCTTGGTCCTCATGGTAACAAATACGGTGGGAGTTGGACTCCCTCGCTCTTGGCGAGAAGACTCCCACAAGATTGTCCCAAGAGATACTGAGGCATACGGCTACAGTAACGAACGAGCTAGAATGGGGCGGTCATTTTGTTCTAAAAATAGCATTCAGGAGCATTTAGAAAATGTGAGGAGTAATTAGTTTACCTCATGGAATAGACCTGCTGTGATAATAAGGGTTTCAGTGCAGAAAATTCAAAGTTGAAGATGTTTTATTGGCATTTCCAGCCAGCTCCAGAAAACCCCAGTTTTGTTAAATATCAGTGGAAAAAATTCTAGGACTGCCTGCAGAGACATTTGTTTGGCGAAGGTCTGAAGGTTGATAGTACAGAGAGAAATGACACGATGAGGAGTTTTTGGGTGGCTGCCTTATAGCCCAGACTGAGATGTAGGTTTCTGGATTTCGGACCTACTCACGTGAAAAGCATTGCCTTCAATCGGCAAGGAGCCCGCTTAGGAGCTACCGTTGAAAAGAGCGCGCTTGCGAACGCGCAGTGCGTCAGCCTTCTCCGTGCTGGAAAGCAACGCGTTCTGAATAATCAACATCTGTTCATGCCCTGCTCGGGTGTTGCGAAGGGACGGCACCAAACTTACTCGCCCAGTTTAGTTGTCTGGCATGTTCTACCCACCTCCTCGCCATTTCTTTGTTTAGTTTCTTTTCAAGTCAACAGAATTTTTCTGTTCTCTTTGGATCAGGCTTGCAAGAATTGTTTGTGAAATTGCATTAAAGTCATTAAATTGATATAACAAAGACTGCAAAGACAACTGATTAGTCCTTTCTTACCTGCCTCGCGAGCAACTCTTTGCAGATTCCTGGATGTAGCGGAATTAAAGAGGAAAATAAATGAAATTAATGTTACCCACTTCATGGCTGCAGATTATGATGTGGGCTAATTTGCTCAGAAATGCTAGGAAGAGTGAAGGGAAAGCCTTTGCTTATATCCCCTTTCCTACCTGCGTCTGTAAAATATTAACCACCGAGCTGGCACTTGTACATTTCCATTTGGTCTGAAGAAGATTACAAAACTTGGACTGTCCTTGCAAAAATGAATTTGATATTAGTTGTTTATTATGTGCTCCTCTGGGCCTTTTTGTCCTGAAAAGGTTGAACCTTCCAGCACCCAAACAGATAAAGTTTTGCGTAAATTTCCTTATCAAATGACAAACAAGGGGTTCAAGGCATCAGACAAAAAAGTCATCAAGTCTAATCCTATAGCTGTGCCTTTTTTCTTTTTTTTTAATTTTTTTTTGCTAGTGTTTGTCCAAAAGCAGAGCATGTTGGTATTGTACAGTAACAGTTCACCCGGACAGGACTCAGGCCACGTACTTGCTTCTAATTAGTGAATTTTAATTTGAAATCACTGTAAAAGGTGAGATGGCTCATCTAGACTTTGGTATAAAAAGGACAGCTTGGTAAAATAGAGCCATGAGCACCCAGACACAGGTACGCAGCGGCCCCCACTTCAATTGCTTTCCAAATTCTTAAAGAAAGAGAAGGTACAGGTGTGGAAGGGTACCGAGGACTCTGCGTCTCCCGACACACGTAGCTCCACAGCGGAACGACTCCCCGCAGCCAGCGGCCCTGTGGCAGCGAGGTGCAACAGACGCTTTGCTGTCCCATCGCGCTCCCCGTTGCGCGACGTACGCTCGGGGTGGGATCCGCGAGGAAGGCTGCTCCGCCAGCCGCGGTGCTGGGACCTGCTGAGGCGTTGGGTCCGTCCTGCTCTTCTGGGGGTATCGCTGCTCACCAGCACCCGTGCCGCCGCCCGGCACGCCTGTAAACATTTGCACGGGCTGTCATTTCATGATTTTTGTGATTTTTCATTTGTGCTGCCATCCTCTGAAAAGTAATTTCTTAATTAGCACTGCTTTCATTTGTGAAAATTTTCTATGGCTTAGTCGGTACCTCTGGGGATCAGACACAGGAAGAAGTGTGATGCTTGCACAGGGCCCTGGGACCAGGAATAAAATTGCAATTATTTTTCCCAGAACGCTCAGTAAGAGGCTTCAAAAGCAAAAACCAAAAACCAAACCAAAAGCCCCCAAAGCTATAAGGTTTATTTTTAGTGAATCTCTGTTCCCCGAGGCCGGGTGGCAATCCCCACTACTATTGTCAGTGCGTTGCTGGAGGTTGTGCTCTGCCTCACAACTCCTTGCTTCTGGTAGCAAGTACTTAGCTGGTAATAGCCCGGAACGAGGGCTTCTAAAGCTGAATAATTTGGTTTTCACTTTTCTGGAAATTTGACAACATTAAAAAAAGGGGAAAAAAAAAAAAAAAAAAAGGCTTCACTTTGTTTCTGAATTTGAGTTTTTAAACATGTCTTAAATAAATCAAATGATGCGTCTAAGCATAAAATATCTGCAGGCAGTTTTCATTTAGAAAAATGTCAAGGCAATACGTCTTGTCTATCAGAAAGACCATTCCGTTCTCCATGAGTAACCACATAAAACACAGATGAGTCTACAGAATAGTTTGATATTGTGAAATTTGTACTGGCTGCTGCTTTCGCAAAAGAGTTTTGCATTTTCTCAAGCCTGCGGCCGATATCTTTGTCGGTGAAAAACTGCGTTCTTGGTAGTGCTTTAAAGGAACAAGGCTCTGTTTTGGCCATTGACGGTTATCTGGATAACTCTTAGATGAAGGATGGTGGGGGCAAGTCAAATTTGCAGAAAAGCGCCCCGCTTTTGTCATCATGTTAGAAATAGGGATTATTTTCGGGTGCTTGTAGCAAATTCCCGACTTTGTAGAGAACGCTGGGAATTGTGATGAACAGTCTGGCCCTTTCAGACCTGCGCTGCTTTAGCCTAACAGAATCCCAGGAAAGAGCTGGTTAAAGGCTTCAGTCTGTAATTGCTTTTAGTGGCCGTTTCCCTCTGTGAGGGAAGAACCCATCACTAAAATGTGGATCTCTTTTTGATTAACCTGTAACCCTCAGCCTGGCTGAAGACTACCTGGCATTTTTTCGCACTGTCCCTTAAATCACTGACGCCCGGAGACGCGGGCGCTCCGAGCGTGGAAACTGCTGCACACGCTTTGCATGGATAGAAATGGTGAGAGGGGGAACGGTGCGTCCAGGGTCTTAAGGATGCTTTCGCCGAGATCTCAGGTAAAATGAACGCGAGGAGCTGACTCAGCAATCTGACGAGTACTTTCTGACCCAATGAAAGCCACTGTAAAAATGGAATTAACTTTCCTTCGACCATCGGTTTGATTTATCTTGTGCCTTGGACACGTGTCTCCTGTCAAACCCTAACGGAGCGCTCAGTGAGATGTAAACACGCGTTTGGGTGTCTTGTTGATATTCACAAAGTGTCTGTAGAAGGCAACCACAGCGGGATGTGGTCCACGTCACAGTGGCGAGAGCGGCGTGGCAGGGGCGAGTCCTGACTTCGAACAGCCCTCGCGATGCTCTCGGGGTGCATCAGAGCCGCCTTCAGAGAGTGACAGCTGAGCGCCCGGAGGGGAAAGCGGTTTCTGTTACGCTGGAGCTTAGCGCAGGAAAAGTCTCGATATGTAATGGAGCATCTTGAACGCTCTCTGGAATTTTCCCCTGCAGCATTGTGCAGTGTTAGCAAGAACACGGCTGGTCCCCGGGAGTTAATATGTAAGTTTGTAATACAGGGTCCATGTTTATTTCTAGATATCTTCTGTTGTCTGTCCTGTACTTCATGCCAACATTTCATATAACTGCTGAAAGAGAGATCCGAACTCCAATGCTGGTGTTTGTTTAACAATATTAAATATTATACTGAGCTTCCTGTTACTCAACTCTTCCATACGGCGCTGGGTACACTTTCAGCCCGGCTGTCCTGGCGTTACAGAAAGGACCGTATCAGTTGCATTTTAAGACAAATGCGTTTTCACACACGTTAATGTCTGAAGTTACAGATGGTAGCTGGTGTTATTTCAGAGGTGGGGGACCAAAGGACGGTAATTCCAAGAGCAATTCACCTGGCAAAAAAGGGTACATGGCTTTTAAATATCCCATCGCAGCCTGCTGTGCAAAGGGACAGAGCGGAT